TGATCAGGGGCATGGGTGCAAACACAAAGAGGAGACCACTGATGTCCCCCCAGCAGCTGATAGGACAGCACCACAGATATGTAGCATGTGTGGGATGCTCTTTGAAGACGCTGAGAGCCTTGAACATCATGGCCGGACCCATGGGGAAAGGGAAGACAGCAAGACAGAGACTAGGGTGTCCCCTCCTCGGGCTTTCGCATGCCAAGATTGTGGAAAGAGCTATCGTCACTCAGGCAGCCTTATCAACCACAGGCAGACCCACCAGACGGGGGACTTCAGTTGTGGGGCCTGTGCCAAGCACTTCCACACTATGGCCGCCATGAAGAACCATTTGCGACGCCACAGTGGGCGGTGGAGCAAGCAGCACCGGAGGCGAGCTAGCAGTGCTGGCAGTGGGGGAGAAGCCAAAATCCCATCCGGCGGGAGCTGGGCCCAGGAGTTGGTGGAAAACAGTGAGGGCCTGGACTGTCTGCAAGACCCTTCAAGGGGAAGTCCTAATGTAGCCCAAGGCAACTTGGAAAGTGATGGGGGCTGTTTGCAGGCTGACACTGAAAGGGATAGATGTGGGCTTGAGAGGGATGAGGCCTGTTTCCAGGGTGATAAAGAGAGCAGAGGTACTGAGGAAGGACTGGAAAAGAAGGAGGCTTGTTTCCTTGACAACTTGGACATCCCAGATGATGAGGAAAACAATGGGACTCGCTTCTGTGATGATCTCAGTGGGGTGGGTGAAGGCCAGAAACTAGCCACTGACCAGCCCAGCTCCTCTTGCCACTCTCCTGAAGCTGTCACTAGCTGGCCGGCTGAGGTCTCCCACACGTGTTCTGACTGTGGGCATTCTTTCCCTCATGTCACTGGCCTGCTGAGCCATAGGCCCTGCCACCCCCCAGGCATCTATCAGTGCTCTCTCTGCCCAAAGGAGTTTGACTCACTGCCTGCCCTGCGCAGCCACTTCCAGAACCATGGGCCCGGGGAGGCAGCCCCTGCACAGCCTTTCCTCTGCTGCCTTTGTGGCATGATCTTCCCAGGACGGGCCGGTTACAGGCTTCACCGGCGCCAAGCTCATGACTCCTCTGGCATGACTGAGGGTTCAGAGGAGGAGGGGGAAGAGGAAGGAGCATCAGGGGCAGCCTCCACTCGTAGCCCTCCACTGCAGCTCTCAGAAGCAGAGCTGTTGAATCAGCTGCAGCGGGAGGTGGAGGCACTGGATGGAGCTGGCTATGGGCACATCTGTGGCTGCTGTGGTCAAACCTATGATGACCTAGGGAGCTTGGAGCGTCACCACCAAAGTCAGAGTTCTGGGAACACCATAGACAAGTCTCCCAGCCACTTAGAGTCAGGTGATGCTATGGGAAGGGTTGCAGACCATGACCATGTCTTTGAGGACACAGTGGCCTGCCTCTCTGGGGAGGGTGGGGACACAAAGTCTGGAGAGGGAGTAGGTGCCATGGTTGTAGACAACCTTTGCATGCAAGGTGGGGAAAGTTCGCTGGAGGCCCAACCCCGCCCCTTCCGCTGCAACCAGTGTGGCAAGACCTACCGCCATGGGGGCAGCCTGGTGAACCACCGCAAGATCCATCAGACTGGAGACTTCATCTGCCCTGTCTGCTCCCGCTGCTACCCCAACCTGGCTGCCTACCGTAATCATCTGCGAAACCACCCCCGCTGCAAAGGCTCTGAGCCCCAAGTGGGGCCCGTGCCAGAGGCAGGAGGCAGCAGCGAGCCCCAGAACATGGCAGAAGAAGGGCTGGGGCAGGCAGATGTGGGAAAGTTTCAGGAGGAACTTAAAGTGGAACCCTTGGAGGAGGTGGCAAGGGTGAAAGAGGAGGAGTGGGAGGAGGCCGCTGTGAAGGGGGAGGAGGTGGAGCCAAGGTTGGAGACCGCAGAGAAGAGCTGCCAAACTGAGGCCAGCTCTGAGCGGCCCTTCAGCTGTGAGGTGTGCGGCCGGTCGTACAAGCATGCTGGCAGCCTCATCAATCACCGGCAGAGCCACCAGACTGGACACTTTGGCTGCCAGGCCTGCTCCAAAGGCTTCTCAAACCTCATGTCTCTCAAAAACCACCGGCGCATCCATGCAGATCCCCGGCGTTTCCGCTGCATCGAATGTGGGAAGGCCTTCCGCCTGCGGAAACAGCTGGCCAGCCACCAGCGGGTGCATGTTGAGCGGGGTGGGAGCGGGGGCACTCGGAAGCTGATTCGGGAAGATCGGCCCTTCCGGTGTGGGCAGTGTGGACGGACCTACCGCCATGCTGGCAGCCTCCTAAACCACCGGCGCAGCCACGACACGGGCCAGTACAGCTGTCCCACCTGCCCCAAGACCTACTCCAACAGCATGGCCCTAAAGGACCACCAGAGGCTGCACTCAGAGAGCCGGCGGCGGCGAGCAGGGCTATCTCGGCGAGCAGCTGTGCGCTGTGCCCTCTGTGGCCGAGGCTTCCCTGGCCGGGGATCTTTGGAGCAGCACTTGCGAGAGCATGAGGAGGATACCAAAAGTGGTCTGAGAGGTCCAACTGGCACAGAGGGCAGTGAGGGGAACCTGGCAAATGACCAGGGACTAGAGGACACATCAGGTGGTACTGACTCAGTTCTCCAGCTGGAGGATGGAGCCAGGAGGCTGGGGGGGCAGAGTCTGAGCCCCATCAGGGCAACAGGTTCAGAAGCCACAGAACTGGTATCCTGGGACATGGGGAATGCAGAAGGGAGGCAAGGAGATGGGGGACCAGTGGATCATGGTGGAGATTGGGTTCCTCAGGGTCATATACTGACCAAGCCAGAAGATGAGTCAGGGAACAGCATCCCCAAGAGTCCTTGCCACCTTGGCAACAGCCAGTCCAATGGACCTAGTCTGAGTCCAGTGGATAGCTGGGACGATGGAGACAGCCGACCTGAGCTCCGTCAAGACAGTCACACCTTTTCCTGCAGCCACTGTGGCAAGACATACTGCCACTCGGAAGACCCTTTGAACTGCCATAGCACTTCCAAGACAGACCGCCACTATTGCCTGCTCTGCTCCAAGGAGTTCTTGAATCCTGTGGTCACTAAGACCCACAGCCACAACCACATAGATGCCCAGACCTTTGCCTGCCCTGAGTGTAGTATGGCCTTTCAGTCCCATCATGAACTAGCCAGCCACCTACACACACATGCCAGCGGCCTCAGTCAGATGCCACCCCTGAGAGAGGAGGCCAGAGGTCCTGAAGGTGGGGCTGTGAAGGATGAGGTGGATCTCCCTGGCCAAGGGGAAATCCAAAAGGCCCCATCAGAACCCCCCAGGACCCCAGGAGAGAATACTGGGAGTGCTAATGGGGGGCAAGGAGTAAAGTCCACAGTGGCTGAAGACGAGGAACGGCCCTTCCGTTGTGCCCAGTGTGGGCGTTCCTACCGCCATGCCGGTAGCCTGCTGAACCATCAGAAGGCCCACACCACTGGACTCTATCCCTGTTCCCTCTGCCCCAAACTTCTACCCAACCTGCTGTCCCTTAAGAAC